TTCAAGTAAATTCAGTAATTCCCACGAATTCTTAGTATTTATATTTCTTTCTAACAAATTAGAAATCGCATTCTCAAAATCCTTAATAATTCGGTAAATGGGAAGGTACTTTGGTATTCATCATGTATCTATCTTAAAGAACATAATGAAATAGTTTCGATGAATTTCAAAGAATTCCAGTAATTTCAGCATATGATAAGTTAATTATAAATAATTCGAATAAATTACATTTCTGTCTAACAAATTGCGCCAATTACATACAGAGTTCCCAAATTCCTTAATAAGATTCCATAATCGGAAAAGTACTTCAGTGATAATTATCTTGCAGAATATAAAGAAATAATTTCGACGGATTTTAAAGAATTCCAGTAATTTCAGTGTATGATAATGGGTTCTTCAAGTCTGTACCTTGGCAGATAATTTCTAAATTAATATTCCTAAATGTACAGTGGAACTATGCACTGCTTGAAAGTGCTAATAGGTTTCAAAACTACATATAATTTAAGTCAAATTTCGATTGTGAAAATTCCATTTATTCAAACGAGTGCCATTATTTTCAAAATAATTTTTTCAACATCAAAAAAATTATAAATAAAATCAACTGATAATGGACAAGATGGAGTTTATAAAAAGTATCAAATTCGATAACAAATTGAATAAAATTGAAAGTAAATAATACTTTACAGAAATATTGTCCGAAGGAATAACAAACATGGCACATATTCCAAAGGTTTTTTACAGATAATTCGAATAAAATCAGTAATTCCCTCTAATTCTGAGTAATTCCATTCCTTTAACAAATTGCGCTAATTACATACAGATTTCTCAAAATCTTTGATAATATCGTAAATAAAAAATTAGTCGAAGGTTATTTCAACAGAACTTCCCTCGCCCCTGAAGTGCAGCCAAATAAATTCCACTTCTGTGAAAAATTATCATTTTATTTGCGATTTTTGTTTTCTGGTAACCTCGATAAAGTCAAAATCAGTGGCGTAAATAACGCTCTCGCAGCTTACTTGATTTGAATTTTTTTTTCAATTTTTAATTTTTTTTTGTTCCTTCATTTTTTCGAGTTTTCAAGTTTAAATTGTTCAGTTTTTCAACTTTTCAATTCAGTTTCTAGATTTTCCAATTTTTCGATTTGTGTTTTTGGAGTTTTCAATTTTTAACTTTTCCATTTGTAATTTTTCGTTTTAATTTTTTATTTTTTGTATTTTCAATTTTTTTTTTTAATTTTACGATGTTTCTTAAAGTTTTCGTTTTTAAACTTTCCATTTTTCCGATTTTCCAACTTTTAGACGTTTAAACTTTTAGATTTTGCAGTTTTGATTTGAAATTTCACGAGTTTTCAATTATCAATTTTCTTATGTTAGATTTTTCAGTTTTCATTTCTTCAGCTTTTTGAGAAAAATGAGAAGGTACAAGTTATTCTACGTGACTTACATTAGGAGTACAATCCAAAATTATTGAATAATAGATTGACTTTATGTTTTTTTATTAAAATATCCGTTGTTCTTTGCGCCAAAAAATTGTTCAAAGAAAACTACGTATATAAAGAAAAAAAAAGACAAAGATTAAGCCCCACCCACCCGCCCCAATCTCAGTTGTGATGAGTTTCATATGATAATTTCTTGTAGAGAAATGAGGATTTTGGAACTAAACTTCACCCTCCAGCTCACGATGAATAAAACATTCATCACAATTGAGAAGGGGTGGGTGGGCGGGCCGTATATTTTGTCCATTTTTTCGTAATATACGAAGTCTTCTTTTCCCAACGAGAAACAGAAAACATGTTTAACTATCCTGTTATTGAAAGAAAACTCTATACATTAAAAAAAACAAAGATTAAGTTTATAAAAAGTATAAAATTCGACAACAAATTCACTAAAATTGAAAGTAAATATTATCCGAAGCAAAAGAAATTTGCCATATATTGAAAATAAAATCCGTAATTCCGACGAATACCGAGTAATTCGATTTCTTTTTAAAAAATTGCGCCAATTACATACATGATTTTCAAAATCCTTAATAATTCCGTAAATGAGAAAGCAGTTTAGTGATAATTATCTTGAAGAGCATAGTGAAATAATTTCAGTGAATTGCCAAGAATTCCAGTAATTTCAGCGTGTGTAAAGTGGTTCCCCAAGTCTGATTTTTTCATTACCTAAACCGATAGTTCTCCAACAATTTTCAAAATCACATAAAATCTAAGTCAAATTGCAATTAATTCCATGAAAATCCGTGAAAATACTATTGAATTCCATTTCTATAAACGAATTTCACTATTTTCAAAATAATGGTTAAATAATAAAAAAACAAATGAAACTGGACAAGATGAACTTTACAAAAAGTATACATTCCATCTACAAATTGACTAATATTGAAAGTAAATAATACTTTCCAAAAATATTATCCAAAGAAGTAGCAAACATGGCACATATTGCAAAGGATTTTTAAAAATAATTCGAATAAATTCAGTAATTCCGACGAATTCCGAGTAATTCCATGTTTTTTCTAACAATTGGTGCTAATTACATACATAATTGTCAAATTCGTCAATAATTCTGAAAATAGGCAAGCAGGTTAGTAATAATTATCTTGAAGAACATAATGAAATTCACAATATAACAATAATTTCACTAATTTACAAAGAATTCCAGTAATTCCAGCGTATGTAAAGTGGTTTCCCCAGGTCTAATAATTTCATTAGCTAAGCCGATAATTCCGAAATTAATATTCGTAAATTTACCATGGAATTACGCACTGCGTATTTTGAGGGTGCTAATAGGTCTCAAAATTACATAAAATTTAAGTCAAATTGCGATTAATTCCATAGAAATTCTCTAGAAATTCCATTAAATTTCATTTCTATAAACGAATTTCACTATTTTCAAAGTAATGTTTCAACAAAAAAAAAAAATTGAAATTAGACAAACTAGACTAAAACGTATAAATTCCATCAACTAATTGACTAATATTGAAAGTAAATAATACTTTATATTAATATTAATGGAAGAAATAACAAAGATGGCACATATTGCAAAGGATTTTTAAAAATATTTCGAATAAATTCAGTAATTCTGACCAATTCTAAGTTATTCCATTTTTTTTACAATTTACGCTAATTACATACGTAGTTCTGAAATTCCTTAATTATTCCGTAAATAGGAAAGCCGGTTAGTGATAATTATGTTGAAGAAGATAATAAGTTTCATAATATAACGATAATTTCACAGAATTCCAAAGAATTTCAGTAATTCCAGCGTATGTAAAGTGGTTTCCCAGACCTAATAATTTCATTAGCTAAGCCGATAATTCCGAAATTAATATTCGTAAATTTACCATGGAATTACGCACTGAGTAATTTGAAGGTGCTAATAGTTCCCAAAATTACATAAAATTTAAGTCAAATTGCGATTAATTCCATAGAAATTCCCTAGAAATTCCATTAAATTTCATTTCTATAAACGAATTTCACAATTTTCAAAATAATGCTTCAACAAAAAAAAAAAACAAATGAAATTAGACAAAATACACTTTAAAACGTATAAATTCCATCAACAAATTGACTAATATTGAAAGTAAATAATACTTTACATTTATATTAATGGAAGAAATAACAAAGATGGCACATATTGCAAAGAATTTTTAAAAGTATTTCGAATAAATTCAGTAATTCCGACGAATTTCAAGTAATTCCATTTTTTTTTCTTACAATTTACGCTGATTACATACATAGTTCTGAACTTCGTTAATAATTTCATAAATAGGAAAGCCGGTTAGTGATAATTATGTTGAAGAACATAACGAAATTCACAATATAACGATAATTTCACAGAATTCAAAAGAATTCCAGTAATTCCAGCGTATGTAAAGTGGTTCGCCAGGTCTAATAATTTCATTAGCTAAGCCGATAATTCCGAAACTAATATTCGTAAATTTACCATGGAATTACGCACTGAGTATTTTGAAGGTGCTAATAGGTCTCAAAATTACATAAAATTTAAGTCAAATTGCGATTAATTCCATAGAAATTTCGTAGAAATTCCATTAAATTCGCTTTCTATAAACGAATTTCAAAATTTTCAAAATAATCGTTAAACAAAAATAAAACAAATAGAAGTGGACAAGATGGGCTTTATAAAAACTATAAATTCCATCAACAAATTGACTATTATTGAGTATTGAAAGTAAATGACACTTTACAGAAATATTGTGCGAAGAAATATGAAGAAAATTAATCAATTCTGATGAATTCCGAGTAATTCCATATCTTTCAATTGCCCTAATTACAAAGTTCTCAAACTCGTTAATAATTCCGTAAATAGGAAAGCAATTTAATGATAATTATCTTGAAGAACATAATAAAATTCACAATATAATAATAATTTCTTTGAATTTCAAAGAATTCCAGTAATTCCAGCGTATGTAAAGTGTTTTCCCAGTTCTAATAATACCATTATCTAAGTCGATAATTCTGAAAGTAATATTTGCAAATTTACGTTGGAATTACGCATTCAGGAAACTAGTGGTGCTAATAGTTTTTAAAACCACATAAAATTTAATCCAGATTTGGATTAATTCGATTGTGATTTCCATTTCTTACAAATTTCACTAATAACATAATAAAATCGCCAAGGAACAGACGACAGAGAGACGTAAACGGAAAACGTATCGTTCTATTTTCCAGGGGGTATGAAACGTCCAGTAAACATAAAATGAGCGATTCGCCAAATGGACCCTATTACAATTATTTTCGAACCTAAGCTTAAAATATAAAATTACTTTATACTTGTAAAAATATATTTAATAAGGTGTGATCAACCGAAACCATCGTCATCAAGTTAATCGACCAAACATTTTCATTTTCTACTACACACAACGTAGAATGCGAAAAACACCTACGTATCCAGCTAAATCTAAAGGACGATTTTGTTGATCACGCGTTATTTTTAAAGTCAAACCAAAAATTCCTTATCCAGTGCTGAAGTATTTTTTAGTTTCAGATTCACAAACCCAAAAATGTGTCATATCCCAGTTTTACCCACGTAGACCCCGCATTCGAAGAATCGTAAGTACTTCCATACTTTAATACTAACCCAAATGTGTTATTATCCCCGGCAACACCAAAAATGGAAACACTGTCGACACGTTTCAACAGTTGCGCGGTCATCTTCTACTATACTATATACTACTATAGGTATATCTTGAGAACGAATAGAACTATTGAAATTTTGTAAACGCCATTGTTTTTAGCTTGACAGGGGAGCTTAATTTAGTAAAAAAAACTACATTTTTTTTTTAATCGCAACAGTTTTAGTATGTCTATTAGTTCGTGTGATATAAGGCAGCGGAATTTTATTTTTTTCATTTACGTTTCAGAAACTTTCAGCCAATTTCTCGTTTTAAATTTAGGTAACTAATAGTTGCTAAAAAAATGTTAAATGTGGTTTTCGAGTTTGTGAAAAAAATTGAGGAATTACGTTTTGATCAAATTTCTACACAAAGATAATGGCGAATAAATTAAACTTCATTAATATATTTTTGTATTACACTGAAACAACTTCAGACTCGACCTACACTTCCAAACAGTCTTCCAATTTACAAAGACGTTAATCAGAATTTACTTTGTCCCGGGAGTTACAACAAAAAATCGCTCCTATCCACGACGTAAAAGTATCACTCTGCCAACAATAATAAAACAAATTGTAACAAATCAGGTACGAGCAAAAATAAAACCGCATATTTGTAGTTTGTTGTATTGTCGATTCGAGCTTTTTGTAGCACTAAATCAGGCTAAAAAAAATCCGGCAGTAATGGCTGTTAGCCGCCCCACATTGTCAACATCATAATTTACTGTTTGGAATCCGACTCATTCTGGACACGTACACAGTTATAATAGAGGCCTAAGTAGAGCATTATTGAAATGCTAAACAACGTAGCTGGAAGGGAGCCACTGGGTTCGACCCAACTCGATGATCTCCAGGGATATGAAAGGGATCCCTTCCAGAAACACACGCACATATTCAAATAAGCCACACGTCTCTTCTAGATATGTGGCATTCAAAATGTTTATGTCGGATTCAGCTTGCAATTTCGCGAGTTTAATGCATGGCTGCGAACTCCTCATGCGAAAATTGTTTGACGAGTGATTACAATTCATTAATTAGCAAGTAATCAATTAGTGGAAACGATTTAGTAATGACTATTTATTTAAATAGCGCTTGTTAAACAATAGGGAAATTTATGTGCTATTGTGTATTGGTCGTGTAGCTCCAAAATAAAATATTACCGACAAAGCATCCAAAGATTAGTGTTTTTGAAAACCTGAAATTCCAAAATTATCAGTATTTCGTAATTAGAGCTTTACCGTCCATCACAAAGCTTCACTAAAGCTTCGAGCTTTACAAACTGATGAATATTAAACTGCGTACATTTCGTTACTATTGATTTTTTTTTTTTTTGGAATGTGTAAGCTTTCAGCTCGAAGAAAACAGTAAAGAACTTGATGTTTTGATGAATATTCATTTCACTCGCCTAAATAGCCTTGCTATCTTTCATATTAAAAGCATCAGTCATGATTACGATACGTTCGATATGCCTTTTCAGCGCTCCGGAGCTTTCTACTATTTAATTTTTAAAAGCACACGTTTTATTTCTCTGAAGATAAATCTCTGTATATTTTTTGCGCTTGTGCTCGCCGTCAATAAACTTTTTTGTATTTTGTCTGATATGAAATCTTCATACCCCTGTTCGGATCGTGTATTGGAACAATAAGAAAATATGAGATGTGGAATAAATGATAAGAGTAATTTCTTCGTTCATCCTCCTTAGGGATTTCAGAAAAGGAGTAATAGGATTGAGACGAACCCGTATGATGATTACGTCTTTATTCTGGTAAATTTTGTATTGAACTGAGTTGTACTAAGTTCGTAGATTCATTTTAACGTTTTGAATATTAAACCGTATATTATTACTAAGTTCGTTTCAAAAAATCCAAAGCTGTGCTATTTTAGAATTAAATTCCACTGAAAGTTAAACTCGTTAGTGCAAAGCTACTTGACATAAAAATAACATTTGGTTAATCAACAGATGATAAAAAAGATATACGGGGTTTAAGTGCAATTGCATGTAATTCTGAAGTTGCTGTTTAAAGCAGACGCCGTAAAGCGCTTATTTTCAACGCTAACGTTTTAAGTTTTCATTAAACGTAAATTTCAACCGTTTATGTTGTTATTACTAGAGCTGTAGTAGCATCAAGCCTTGGATGGTCGAAGTATAACAATGTTAAATATAGGTAATAATGGAAATTATGTCTTACTGCACCGTTTTCCGATCCTAGATGAAATGTGACTATTTTTTCCTTTTTTTAAGTTTCGAAGTGTTAACACTGCAGGCACTAGAATCCGTCACGTTTTTTTGCATATCGGAGTTTCTCATATAAACATCTCTACTGTTGAACAGGAATTTCTTGTCCGTTGTGTATTTCTGGATTTGAAGCTTTTTCCGATTCAGTTTCGCACAGCGAATGATACACGTTTTTCGTTACATGTTTTGCTGTCCTGGAAGAGATGATTACATGTCTGGAATATTTTCCTTGGACTTTATCTGATCTCTGTGTGTATTCCAGTCTGTGATGATAAACTTGGTTCCGCTCAAAATTCAAATGAAATGTTAAAAGTCGAGGATTAAAATTTTGTTACAAATATACATATAAAAATTATAATAATGATTAATGAAAACAAGGCGTTCATAAAACACAAGTACTGAAGTATATTATTTTGAAAAACTGAAATGGTGTTTACAATTAAAAATTTGAAGGTGACGTCATTACACTGATCAGACGGCAATTGCTAGATAGACAGACGGAAGAACGTCAAAAACACATTAGAGTAGCTATTCGTTGACTCTATTACAATACTTCCCCAGTTTAGGTTCAGCATGTAAAAATCAACAATCGAAGTTTGTTTTTTTAGGTTTTACATATTGGTTTTTAAGTCCGATGCCAAGTTATTTAAGTCGGTTGCAAAAAGGTTGTCGAAAGAAGTGAAAAAAGAAAATTAAAAAGACAAGAAAAACTAACGAAAAAAAAATAGCAATGAAAGAAAACAACAATTGGTCGAAGGTTATTTCAACAGAACTTCCCTTTCATTTTTTCTCAACATTAGAATATGAAACGGTAGTTTCGATCCCCAGAAGTTATTTTCGGCTTTAATTCGTCAAAAAATCCTACCACTATTCCAGAATCGCCAATTAACTTGGAAATTTTCAGAATTTTTAAAAATTATAACCTTCAAACCGAGCATTTTAAAAATTTTGCTTTGGGACCATTAAAACGTTACATTTTTCAAATCAGCACTCCAGATCTATATCCCAGAACTTTTTGTGAATTTTTCTAAAAGCTCAATTGTTCAATATCTATTTTATGAAATTTTTTATCATTTCTCGACCATCTTCGAAAATTAACCACATACATTTTTCTGAAGATTTCGATCCCTAGAAGATATTTTCGGTTTTAATTTGTCAAAAAATCCTACCACCATTCCAGAATTGCCAATTAACTTAGAAATTTTAGAATTTTGTAAAAAAATTGAATATTTCAAAAATTTTGATTCGCGACCATAAAAACGGCATATTTTGCAAATTAGCATTTAGTTGTGGATTTTTCTAAAAGCTCAATTTTTCAATATCCTTTTTATTAAACTTTTGATCATTTTTCGACCATCTTCGAAAATTATCCAAAGTCATTTTCTCGAGGAATTCGATCCCCAGAAGTTAGTTTCGGCTTTAATTCGTCAAAAAATTCTACCACTATTCCAGAATCGTCTATTAACTTGGAAATTTTAGAATTTTTTAAAAATGTCAAAGTTCAGATCGGATATTTCAAAAATTTTGGTTCGGGACCATAAAAACTCTATATTTTTCGAATCAGCATGTCTAGATTTATATCCCACAACTTTTTGTGGAGTTTTCTAAAAGCTCAATTTTTCAATATCTATTTTATGAAGTTTTTTATAATTTTTCGACCATCTTCGAAGATTAGCCAAAGTCATTTTCTTGAAGATTTCGATCCCCAGAAGTTATTTTCGCCTTCAATGCGTTGAAAAATCCTACCAATATTCCAGAATCGCCAATTAACTTGAAAATTTTAGGATTTATTTAAAATTTTAACGTTCAAACCGATTATTTCAAAAATTTTGGTTCGGGAAAACGTCATATTTTTCAAATCAGCACGTCAAGATTTATTTGCAGAATTTTTGGTGGATTTTTCTAAAAGCTCAATTTTTCAATATATATTTTATGAAATTTTTGATCATTTTTCGACCATCTTCGAAGATTAGCCAAGTTCATTTTCTTGAAGATTTCGATCCCTAGAAGTTATTTTCGGCTTCAATTCGTAAAAAAAATCCTACTACTATTCCAGAATCGCCAATTGACTTGGAAATTTTAAAAGTTTTTTCATATTTCGACGTTCAAACCGAATATTAACAAAAATTTTGATTTCGGACTATAAAAATTCTATATTTTTCAAATCAGCATATCGTCATATCGAGATCTATTTTCAGAACTTTTGGTGGATTTTTCTAAAAGCTCAATTTTTCAATATATGTTTTATGAAATATTTGATCATTTTTCGACCATCTTCGAAAATTAACCAAATACATTTTTCTAAAGATTTCAACCCCAAAAGTTATTTTCGGCTTTAATTCGTCAAAAAATTATACCACCATTCCAGAATTGCCAATTAACTTAAAAATTTTAGAATTTTGTAAAAATTTTAAATTTCAAATCGAATATTTCAAAAATTTTGGTCCGCCACCATAAAAACGGCATATTTTTCAAATTAGCACGTCTAGTTGTATGTCCCAGAAATTTGTGTGGATTTTTCTGAATGCTCAATTTTTCAATATCTTTTTTATTAAACTTTTGATCATTTTTCGACCATCTTCGAAAATTATCCAAAGTCATTTTCTCGAGGAATTCGATCCCCAGAAGTTAGTTTCGGCTTTAATTCGTCAAAAAATTCTACCACTATTCCAGAATCGCCAATTAACTTGGAAATTTTGGAAT